GGGGGGGGAGGGGTTGTTTGAGTCCGGAACCGAAATGTTGTCTTTTTGGACTCAAAATACTTTTTTAGGTGGAAAAAAACTTAGTTACCAAAATATGTAAAACGCGGTTGACAACCGCGTTTTCTATTATCTCAGCTTTCTACCCATTAATGAAAGGAAAGGTGGGTAATGCTTGGGTCCCACTCGGCCATTGAGTCTATTTGCTGAGGAGATGAGTGCATGAGCAGTGAATTCTTTGTCGGTAGATGCCAATTTTAATGGCGTGGGTGTACAATTGTGGTACATTGGGAGATTATTTGTACAATCTTTACCAGCCTTTTTTACTTTTCCATTTCTTTTGTGAAAAATAAATTAGTGTGTCTAATTGAAGACGAAATTTAAGAAATTAAAATTGACATATTATTATGTATCGCAATACTAAACATAACATAATATATCATGGTCCTCAATATTTCATGTCACTTTTAGTATATATATATATATATATATATATATATATATATATATATATATATATATATATATATATATATATATATATAAAGTTACATAATAATTGTATACTGTAATTTTTTTGTGTAATTTACAACTTGTAATATCTCATTCACTATATTTTATAGGCTACTATAGTCCACGCTCGTTGTAAATAATTGTCGGTAACTAACTTTTAGCATAAGAGTCTAATAATCCCTCTGTCTTAATCTATCGTGTTTCTATTTTACACGCCCCTTAAAAAAATATTAAATATAAGAGTTTTTTTTCACTGTTTTTACCCTTAGTTATACCCTATAATATAATCTCTCTTCATTTAATATTTACTCATAATTGAGATATTTATAGTCAGAAAATAATTAATATTAAAGGTAAAATAGGAAAAAAATAATTTATTTAGTCTTGAACTTCTAAAATGACAAATAATTTTAGACGACTATTTTTAAAAACCATGACAGATAATTTGAGACGGATGGAGTATTTGGCTTAGCTAAATTTAAATACTCCTAATGTATGTGGTGGTGTTTGACTCAGCATTATATTTAAGAATGAAATAAAACCTTTGAATTTTCTGATCTAAAACAAACCATAGATATTTAATGTGGTTGCAATTATTTCATTAAAGACAAAGTAGAAAATTTAAATATCCCTGAAGTTGTTAACAACAAAAACAACTTATTGTTGCTATATTTTTAATTATAATTATTTCAGATACAAACTATTTTGTGTCTCAATGGACTATAAAGAATTCTTTCCTTCTCAAAAATTTACCTCATCTTTTCATCATATGGTACAATATTTTAAAATATGATATCACAAATTTTTCAACGTATTAAGCAGTTTAAAAAATTTCTGTCAAAGATGATTCCAAATTTATGTGTGCTATTGGAATAAGAAAGAAAGAATAAAGCATGAAAAATCTGGTTTTAGTATAATGAGGTGCAAACAGGAGACATATGCAATCCCAAAGGATGATTGCAAGACCAGGGATAGAAATGTGTTGTGAAGAATGGCAGCTTTAGAGGCAATCAAAGATTGACGAAGGAATAAAACTGGCTTTGGGTTTTAATTATTGACAGAAGGATATTTTGGTTTTAATCAAAGAATGCAAGAGATAATAAGGTAAATTATTTGATCAAACTT